TTCCTTTTCTTCCTAAAGTCTATTGATATTAATTATAAGCATCATTAGTTAACTTATGTTTATTTAGTTAGTTGTATATAAATATGTTTGATTTGGTAAAACGAGCTTTTTTTGAAAAAACGAAGTTGAGCTTATGTTAGAAGCATTCTCAAGTAGCTTTCAGACTGTTGAAATTTTTATTTCAGCTTATCAATTAATTTTTCTAAACATTTTTATTTTTATTATATCAACTATGTTAACCAAACATAATCTATTTATATAGATAAAATATTAGCATCAAATAATTTAATTCATCATTCTTATTCATGTTATTATTATTGTTATTATTACTATTATTATTATTATTGTTATTATTATTATTGTACATAGCACAAAATTCGAAGACTAATTAACAGTAAGATTAACCCGTATTTATATATTTTATTATCCTCCATATATATTATTCCCGAATGCGCTAGTTAGAAGAAAGGGGAATGGAATGAAAAAGCGGCCCGGGAGGGTTTCTCAAGTTCCAGATCAAATATGGGCTTCTATTATATTCTAATAAGGAGAAAAGCCGAGCCTACGTGGCTACTTCTGGTGTTTCGGAATCCTACTTGGCAAAGAATCATGTTTCGTAATTATGTTTGCACAAATAATATTGATATATTAATAATTAATAATTTAGGTTTGGACATTCTATAAATATTATTTAGCTAACTTAGGTATTTTAATATCACTTTACTAATATAACACTTTATTTCTTTGTAATTTTACTTACTTAGGTACTAAGTGACTAATATATCCCTGACTTTTGATTTGTTTTCTTCAATTAGCTATTGAATTATAAATGTATTTTAGAAGTTGATAACTTTTGTATTCCTTATCGGTTTTGCATATATAATATATCAAATTAATCATCTTTTGATGATCTTCGATTTGACACCCATATTGTATATATGAAATAAATAAATTATATTTATTTTTATAATAATAAATCATAATATTTTATTAAAATTCATTAAAAAAATAAATTTATTTCTCCATTGATATATGTATGTTTAATGTAATTTTATGTTGTAAGTTTAAAAAATTACTATAAATAACACATGTAAGTTTCACAAATAAAAAGTGGCATACTAAATATATAGTAATATATATATTTTATAAAAGATATTTAAATTTTCAACTACTTTTTCTCATTTGATTTTAAGAAAAAATCAGCAAACACCAGTGTAATACACGAGCGTTGTACTAGTATTAGTTATATTTAATTAGAATTAAATAAAAGCCTAACAGCTGACCCTGTGACCTGTCTTCGTCTTGGACGTACGACTATTGTTATTATTATTATATTATAATAATAATAATAATAATAATAATAATAATAATAATAATAATAATAATAATAATAATAATAATAATAATAATAATAATGTTGCAATTGGTTTAGTTGACGAATATATTAATATAGTAATATTAGTGATGTCAAGTGTCACATATATGGACTTCATTAATTAACATCCTTAACCCTAAACTACAATGGTTATATTTTTTATTTTTTTTTTTTCTTTTGAATTATCCATTTTTTAATCAATTTTTACCTCCTAATTGAATTGTTGTTACTATATTTTTAATATTATTTTACCCTTTATTGGTGTTCTATATATGTATATGCTCCTAAGAGATTAACAAATTTGTGATTAAGAGTATTATATAAATCTTAAAAATATATTATACAGGGCAAATTCAATAAAATTAATTAATAAGACATAAATTATTTCAAAACAAGAGGCATGTCCAGTGACGGATCTAGAAAATTTAACGAGGGGGGCCCAATTTTAAATGTTAAATAACGAGCTTGTAGTTTAAGTCAAAACACCCATTTCATATGAAAATGTATTTACTATAAATATAAATATTGATACGTGTACCATTAAAAACTTACAAATTGTATCACCTTCAAACTTTTTTAAAAAATAAACCAAAAAAAAAGAAGAGATTTTATGTATTCATACTTTAAGTTCAACGTCTATAATTTATGGAAATATAAATTTTTTGGTTGAAAATTTGATTCAAAGTGAACTTTTACACAACATTCCATAGCAATTTTTTCATGAAAGATTATCAAATGAATATTTTTTTTAAAAAAAAAAAAATAAGGTTAAAAATATGTGATTACACAAAAAAAAAGAGTGAAAAATCAACATTAAAAAATGTAACAATTCAACTAATAAATACTCGGTTTTATAAATCACTAAATCAATTTACAATTAAGAGACCGAAAGAGTAAAAATCATTATAAATATTTTTGAAAGCTTACCTAAAACTTTTAAAATATAAGAGTTATTAGTGTATTTTTCAATAAATAAACAATATT